CCTCCAGGATACGTTCCATCAGCTCCTGGTGTCACAGTTCCAGGACGGATACCTCCAGGATACGTTCCATCAACTCCTGGTATCACAGTTCCAGGACGAACACCTCCAGGATAAGTTCCATCAACTCCTGGTGTCACAATTCCAGGACGGACACCTCCAGGATACGTTCCATCAGCTCCTGGTGTCACAATTCCAGGACGTACACCTCCAGGATACCTCCCGTTAGCTCCTGGTGCCACAGTTCCAGGACGGACACCTCCAGGATACGTTCCGTCAACTCCTGGTGTCACAATTCCAGGACGAACACCTCCAGGATAAGTCCCTGGTCGTCCAGGGAGAATTCCAGGGTAGGTGCTAACTTCCCCAGGTACCACTCCAGTTGGATATGTTATTTGCCCGCCAGGGTAAGTTGTGACTCCAGGAATGATTCCTGTTCCAGGTTGCGTAATACCAGGTGTTCCAGTACCTATCGGTGGAACTTGTACCTTATCCGGTTTCCCTTCAGGATATCCAACATATCCAGGATATCCAGGACAATCTTCGCAACCGGTGCCACCCGATGACATACTTTGCGCTTGACCCATACCGCGACTACCACCTGAAAAGAAGTATTAATACTTATACAAGTAACTAAAGAAACATAATTATCATAAAAATTTTTCTCTAACAAAAGTCTTATTTATATATTCAGCCATAATATCTCACAATTTCAATCTCGAATCATAGAAATTTAAGTATATTGCAAGAATTCAATTCTATTTATTAATTTTATTTGTAATTTTTAACCACATTTTTTTAGTTTTTATTTCTTTTTTATCTTAAAAAAAATTATCTAATATAGTAGCACACAGAATAATCAAATGTCAAAAGTCTAAATACTTACTAACTACTGCGCGCGAAGATTGCTGAGTAGCTTCGGCTTCGGCCTTGCCCTCTTTTTTTTCATCGTTACCGAGATTCAGATATTGAGATTGCGTCTGTCCACGAAATTTCCCTCGAAACTGATTCGTTTGTCGACGTTGTCGAATTCGATCGACATTTTTGTTTGATTTTTCTCGTTGCTCGAGTTGAATCTGTCGTTTCGTCCGAGCTCTTAGCGGTGTTAGAACGATGTCAGCTACGCGTTTTGACGAAATATCATTTTCATCTATAGGGATTTCATTGAAGAAAGGATCGAGAGTACGCCCCGGCACAGGTCTCGTTGCTTGTAACAAAAGGATATTGCGTCCGTTGCAGAAATCAGCGATTCGACCCCCAGCAAGTCGCCACGCCTATTCAGAATATTAAATTTAGATGTTAATATATTTTTCTTCTGATACAACATACTTTATTATTGTATTTTTACACGTAATTATTTGAGTAATATTTTATTTTTATTGTATAGTTCTTAAGCGTTTATGACAATATGATTACATAGAATACTTGTGTGTCAAGGGAACTAAATTCAGATGATACACTTAATTTAAAGCTACATATTGTTCTTGACAATTTACTTGACAATAAATTTACAATTATTAGTAGGAAATAGCAGAAAACATAATTCTGATGTTTTTAAATATGCACATGTAAAGATTTGTTAAGAGAACTGTAGAGAACTATTATATTGTGATTTATAACAATTTCAACGTGCCATGTAACTTATTATATTACCTCCAGTTTCGTGAGGGCTGTCGACGCATAGAGTATCTTGGATTGCCGCTTCTTACGTGACGCATTCTGACCCTGTTTTATATTTTCAAGATAGCAATCGTTCTCCTTCCTGCTCTTGTACGCAACGAATTGCTGTTTCGAAAGGATCAGTTTAAAATCGGCGTATTTTAATATTAAGACAACACAATCGCTTACCGTTACATCGTCAGTAAAAGACCATTGTTTCTCTTCACGATTATTTTCTGCATCTCTTATCTCATACTCGTGAACAGATCGATCGAAACGCGTCTTTTCCTACAAATAATAATATTGAAGTGTCGTTATAATATTGAAAATTATATAATAAGAATAATAATATGTATTAATTATATATAGTTTATACCATTTAGAAAATAATTAATATATGTATAATGGTATGAACAATAATAATAAAATATTGTTAGAATAATAATAATATATGTATATATATACATTAATCGTTGATACAAATTATAAATAATTAATGTATACTATTATTATATATTGATCTTATTTTATAACATCTCGAAATCTGTATCTGATGTTACTTTTCTTTTCAGGACAATCTGATAAATGATTAGGTGAAAATTAGAATTCGCTTCCCCGAGATTCTCGAAAAACAATCGAATTCAATTTTGCACTCTCTATAGGACCTAGAATCATCTAATTAATCTAATTCGAAAGGGGGTGAAAAAAGTGTCGCGATCGAGAACGAGCCGAGACGATCCGTAATCATATCCGTTCTTATCTTGTGAGCTTTAACCTCCTAAATCTTTCTTCGAGCAATTGTCTTCTCTTAGTCGCAGGCTAGTTACACTTAGCTTCTATAATGTTATTATACAGAACTTTCTTACGAATTTATATGGTCCAAAATTTAACCGCGTGAGCTATTTTGCCAGTCGGAGAAACCGAGTCTGTCGACAACATATTCTGCAAAGTGTTTGTTGCTTCAGATTTTATCGGCAGGAAGATCACAGATTTAATGCAGGATCCATAGTATAGAGAGTACAGCAAAGTTTGTCTACGAAAGTTGACGGCAGAAATCAAGAAGCAGACTCTGATGTACTTGCTACATTTGACGCTTATTGGGAGCAGATTTCATCGGAGACTTATACAGGTATATTTTGACAGCAAATTGGCGGCAGAAAACGAACGAAAGAAAAACTAGCTGAAAATTAAATGATGTCAAGGCGGACTCTATCAGTGAAATGCGAGTTTAATGCAGACACAGTCGATGTCAATTTGTTAGCAATTTCTGATCGAATTGTTGTCAATCCGCTGGCATTGCTTACTGGAAAGTTAATATAATCAAAGCCTGGTCGAAATCATTGCGAATATTCATGTAAAAGCGCGTTTTCTTACGCGAATACAGTTGTAATTTGTAATCATTTTGAAATTGCAGTTTGTACACGACTCGGCTTGTTTCTGGACGTATCGCGGAACGTATGAATGAAGCGGCAAGTAGAGGGATACTCGGGAGATCGCGTTTCCACATTTATCGTCGCGGATAGATGATACACGTCGGCGATTTGCTGAATTTCATAACGCCGCGCGAACCACGGCGACGCGAAGTGTCCTAAATCGCAAGAAGGCGAGAGATAAGCGGCTATCTATTACTCCGAATTGATGAATAAGCGACTCACGCACACGCGGACATCTAAACATCACCTTCTACAAATTACGACGACCCGGTCAGTTTTTTTACGGTCGGACAAAAACTTGAGCACTTTCTCCGGAAGTGTGCCTGTTAATCGTTCACAAAATCTTGCGCGTTAAAAGAGCGACATGCTAATAAAATGTTAAATTAACAAACTGATGAGTCTATTGATAAGAATAATTAAAGCTCACATGAAGCTCACATGGAGCTTATGTAAGCCTCTAGATTATTAATCGGTCGTGTTTAACTTATTTATTGTAAAATAAAAAATATTGCTGTCATATTGACGCTAACAATTTTTATTCTGGATAGTGCACAATTTTTTGTAAAATTCATTCACTGTTGGCGTGTTGTTATTTACAGATACACAAAAGCGCGTCAATTCACAAACTTGGTTCGATTTTTATAAAAAACGCACTGCGGACCTTGTATCTCGATTGTTGAATGCGTGACAAAAAGCGGGGTGGTGAACGCGAGGGAATTAAAAAACTTACATGGTATCTCGCGAGCGTCGTACTCGCGAGGAAGATCAGAACGATGACGATGAGGTACGGCCGCATGGTTCGAACCTTCTGTGAGATCTCCGCGAACCGACGTCTCGACAATGTTCCAACTCCGCTGGAATAGATTCCCACCGACTCTACTCGCTTCTTCCGCTGCGCCTCTTCTTCGGTCCCGTCGTGGTCGGTCCCACGAAGCGCCGCTAAGGGTCCATGTGGCTGTGAGGCGGGAGTAGGAATCGCGTGCTGAACGAAATTCCGGGAATGTGCGTCGTGATGTAAGTGCGTACAGACGCTCGTGTGTATCACGTTATCTCATTTAGTCTCGTCTTGTCGTCGCGGATCTCATTACCGAAAGATATGCGCCCATGGCCGTCATTGACTTAGAAGATACACCTTATGTTGCAGTTAAAAAGAAAGAAGACTCTTCATATCATTATCGTATTGCTTATTTAGACAGTAGTCCAAAACATCTCGTATAACTCGACAGATTTGAAATTTCTTTTAAGAAAATTTTTATCGCAATTTTATATGCATTACATGGTAATCTTTATTTATTATATTATATATACGTATATATTTAATTTTATTATATATATTTTTTATAATAAATTATGTTCAGGGCTAAAACACAGATAAATAAACAAGCCTATTAATTGCGTTATTGCTAAAAATTACTTTATAACATTTGATCAAATACAAAAATTCTTTTGTTTCTATTCTAAATCCGCGTAAATATTCATCAATCGCAAGCGACATTGAGTTAACTTGTCTTATCGAGTTAGTCACTTTCGCTTTCGTTGGCCTAATTACTGAAGTCCAATCTATTTGTTAAACACAGTTAGTCGCTGTTTATCCTACTACCAAGCGTAGCTAATGATCGCATGGTTCATCGGCGCGATAATGAGTTCAATAAATAAAAAGGCGAAGCGAGAGAGTGTATTGAACGGAAAGCTTTATACGAACGCGCGTGTTGCAATCCGATAGGCGTGGAATTAAATTATTTAATACAACTTTTATAATTTCTCATCGCGCAACAGAGATTACAGGATTACAGGAATTGAAAAGTTGGACAGGAGAGGACAAAAAGTTAATTCAAACGTGTTTCTGAACATGTACATGTATCACTTCGTGTATTATTCTTTCGATAGATAAAACTTTTACAATTCGTAAAAAAAGATGTGGATAAATGTTTCGCATAGGCACTCCGGTGTACAAATAGCACGTATAATACAACGGTTGTAATAAATCGTTATCTAAAAAACGACTACGTCCAACGTCTCTCCTTCACGCGCGCAACTAAAATCTAATACGTAAAAGTGGGAATGCTATTTACAACATGTGGTCAACGCGACTACGTGCTTAATCGCTAGATCCCTATTCTCGTCCATGGGCGATCTATCGAATGACTAGGACGCACGTGTGTCCGAATCGCTCGTCAATTAATTACAATTATTACGACTCGAGCGGATTCCTCGGCGAATCGCGGCGGTCAATCTTGTAACGCGCTAAAACATTGTTACACCTACACGAAATCTTTATTATAACCGTCGCCACTCGCATAATCCGCGTGATCTTGCCGTCCGTTCAATCCTTGAAAAAGGGGACATTTAATATCGTCAATCGGAGATAACGTTCGTCGCGACGATGAATTAAAAGCAAGTTTTTCCATGACGGCAGATTGCGTTCACGATGGCGAAACGGATTCGACTAGTTCGACACTCTGACCGGACACCAATCTCTGGCACCGCAAACAAACGTAAGAAGAAGGCTTATTTATCGCCGCTATGATTAAATTCGCTGCTGGAGAACGCTGCTGGCAACCTACAGTACGGCTCTGAACGATGCGCTCGGCTGGATAACGTTCGTTGGACGTTACACACACGATATTCTAATTGTATAGAATTAATACAGCAAAATTCATCACATAACAGGTGGGTACACTAGTAAACGACCACTGGGTCTAAACTTATCTCTATGATATGAAATATATAATATTGTATGTATATATATATTTTTTTTTATTTCTATATATTTTTGGCAGGTGATCGCATTGCCTGCAGCCGACTTTTTGCGGCAATTCCGGTTGCGCAATCCCGAATCACAGATACACGCCTTCGCTTTTGAGAACGTCCAACTTGCATCCCGACGTGCGGTTGCGTTTTTGAAAATTCTTTCTCGAAAGCAACAACGAACCACGGCGAATGCTGCATCGCTCTCTTCGTCGACTTACGATCGTGTATTATACGATAAAACGTAAAAACTTTCCGCTCGGTCATGTAGGACAAAGATATCTTTACATCCTCGAACTCTGGGGTTCGCTACATTTCGCGCACCTGTCATTCGTACGTATTTACATCTTACATAGCTTGGTAGCTGCCTCGAAGAGCCTCAGAGAATCTCATTTAATCCTAAAATAATAAACACGATGGCACTTGCAAGTTCAGTCCGTGTCGATGATCAATCTCAATCGCTTAACGCCGCGCGATAGCGACGCTACGTCTTTAAATAGATAAGGTCACGAGTTTGGCGTTTAATAGACGCTCTCGAAAATTTCTTTCCACGCGTTCATCCGTGCACGCCAATTCCGTCGGGACTATATCATAGTATATCGAGTCGCGTGCATGCTAAAACGCAGCCCGATACTTATGTAAGGCACGACTTTACATCAATGTGATTCGCGCTAAATTAAACACGCTTACAAATTTAACATTATTATGACTAATTGCTAAATGGTCCCTAATTCGGAAGATGCTTGGAATAATATCATACACAATACTCTATCGATTCTTTCTAATTCGCAATGTTATCCAGCATTATCAGACGTAATCTTTGTTTAATTGTATAGAATTAAGACGAATTAATGCGATAAAGGAAAATTGACCGTCATACAGTCATACAATTCTTGATAATGTGAAAACGAATCGAAATTGTTCATCAATCAGTAATCGCATATAAGATTAATCTTTTAATTTGAATCAAATTGTCAATGAGAAAAGATCCACGTTTTAAAGTCAAAAAAGCTTATGATTAAAAAGAACGTCAGCAATTTTGTGACATTCTGTACAGTCGCTGTAACAATTCAAATTTTCTTCAATTTCTGAATTAAATCTCTTACAATTAGTAATATAATCTCGTAAGGAACGAAATCTGATTGTTTTGATTGATTTTTTAATGAATAATTGAAGAAATTTCTAAACTTGCTTTAATATCCTACAAAAAAAAAACGAGTTGTTTTAAGTTCTAGAATACCCTGAAATCTCTATCTAATTGAAATTTCCAATCGAGTTTTGTGAATCTCGTAAAAATTCGTGCTAAAATAAGTACGAAGTTAAATGATATCTCTTTATCGATTGACCAACTTGATTTGATCGCTAGGTATCGACCGATTTTCAAGCGATGGCCAGGTTCAAAGTCATCGTGGCGGGTCTCGAAAAGGACGAGGATCTCGTCGGATCGGGATAATCGAACGTAGTCGAGGAACTCTTAACGTCATTTTCGAAACGGAGATGCAGGTGCTCCGGATTGGGTGATATCACCGATGTTCTGATGACCATTCTGGACACGTATTCCGGATCCTTAGTCACCAAATCGGGGCTCTCTGGATCGTCCGAAGGTGTCTTCTCTCTGCAGGGTCGTTTCGACGGTGCCGTCGCGTCTGACGTCCTGGTGTGCCTGATGATCGCGGAGAACGCCGACGACGAGTCTTTTTGGTCACGCTCGTGCCCCAATCGAGGAACTATGACGCTGGTGGGCGACGCCGTGACGCACGACGTCGTTTGCGATCTATTCAAGGACGACGATAATGGAGCACTCGGTTTCACCGTAGACGATGTTCTTTGCTGCTCGATCTGATCGGGCTTGTCCGTGGACGGTCGGTGATGGGCACGCATGCAGGACGATTCCTCGTGCTTGTAGAGGTACGATTTCAGGGCGAAAGCCTTGCCACAACGACCACACACATGAGGTTTGGTGTTCGAGTGCGTTTGTATGTGAGCTCGTAAGTTTGACTTGTCAGCAAAGGCTTTGTTGCAAATGGTGCACTTGAAAGGTTTCTCACCTGAAAAAACGAAAGTAATTATTAAAAATATCTCTCTATACATGACTTAATCTCGCCAAAACTACGCTTTCTTTTAAATGATAAATATTGAAAGTAGTCACTTAAAAGAATGTCGTGCATTGAGAAATCTTGAATAATTGACGAGTTTATTTTAAAAAGAGAATACTAGTAAACAAATTTAAATGCTCTTTCAACAACGGAAATATAAAATATATAAAAATGATTGTAAAAAAAAACAATTGTATATATACATATGTATATATATAATTGAAGACAGAAAGTGAAATATAAAATAATATATTTCACATTTTATTTGCGCTTTCTCGATTGTACATCTCAATTAATCACTCTTAATGTCTTAGCACACTGAAGGATGTGAATATGTTGTTACGTGTCAACCGATTTCACAGTTGCACATCTGTAATTTGTAGTCGAAAATAGTGCCGTATCTTTAAGCGTGCCAAAATCACATCGTGAATGATTAATTTGCATTCATCTTCATTGAAAGCTCGTTAAACCGTACTCATCGTACTCACCAAAATAGTTTTCCTTAGTTTATTTACGTAATATCTATTATTGTAAGAGAAAGCAATCGGTCATGGACAAAAAACAACTCTGAGAGTCGAACGATTTTATCAAATTAAACATATAGCGAGAGTTATTAATTTTTTTTTCCAGATACCTGATATACAGTTGCAGTAAATTATATAATTGTTCATGGTCAACGTTATAAAGAAAGGCGGTAAATAAATTATGAGGAAAAGCGATTTTGGACATCGAGCACAGCGATATCAAGAGCAGTATACCTGTATGCGTGCGTATGTGTCCCTGCAGCAGCCACGGCCTGGAGAAACACTTGCCGCAATAGTGGCACTTGCATCCCTGATTGTGGGTCCTCACGTGCATGCTGAACGCCGGCATGCTGACATAGACCTTGTCGCAGTGCGGGCACCTCCTGGCCTTTTTATCGCCCAGCGATCTGTGCGTCTGACGATGTCTGGCCAGATTCGAGGAGGTCGAGTATTTCTTGCCGCAGTCGGGACACTCGTGATCCTCGTTGTCCTCCGGCTTGGGATCCACGGCGGCCGTTCTGCGACCTTGGATCGACGCGGTCGAAGGTACGGATGCCGGATCAACGCCGATATCGGGAACGACCGATACTTTCGAGTGACACGATTCCTCCTGCGAGGAGCAAGGAGAATGCCGCGGCGAGAGGCGAATCTCCAAGGCGGCGTTCTCTCCGGACCGAGTCTCCAGGATCTCCCTCTCGCTCTCAATCCGCTCGAAGAAGAGTCTCGTCCGTTCGCCCAGGACTTGGTCCTGGTTTCCCATCACTTGGACAGTAGGCCGAGACCCAAGAGTTCTACTCGCCTCCGCGGGATACTGCGCGATCCTAGGCGACGCCGGTCGCTGATAGATGACATTGCTGTGATGAATTAAGGTGCCCGCCGCCGCTGCCAGGCTCACCTCCGCCAGTTTCGTCAGGTTGTACAGCTCCTCGGGACACTCGGACGACGTTTCGCTACCGCACTCGCTGGCGCCATCGGAAGTTGGTTGACCGCCGCTGTAATCGGCCAGTCTCACGCTTCTCTCGGGACTGAAATCTGTATGAAAATGAAAAAAAGGGTTGGTATTCAAATTAAGAATATTATAGCAAAATCTATTTTGATTGACAATTCTTAATTCATTCGGCAATTGTTTGACAATTATATCTAATGTTATATATTATGTTATCTATTTCCGCGAAAGTAAGTGTATTATTTTGATTACGTCTTTCAGCGGATATCGCACGGAACGTGATTTCAAATGCAACACCTCCAATAAATCTCAACGGAAAGCAGGGAAATCCAGCGTCGACTCGTAAAACACCTTCGGGAGCAGGGCTTCGTACGCTGCTCCGTTTTCGGGGAGAACGGAAATAGAGTAGCTACGCCACCAACCCCCGCACGCCCGTCGTTCCCTAGCGCGCGCAACGCGTTTGTTCTATGTATTTCGTAGTACCACATACGTGTACGCACACGCGTTGCGTCGCGTAAGGAAGCTCGCCTGCCTGCGGTGGGGTTGACGGCATCGCGACGGTATGCGTCTCGGTGGGCCCTGGCGTGTGTGACGCATCTAGCGTCTCCTATTCTTAAATCCGCGCGACACACCACCTTGATCGCGAAGCAACGACCAGTAGATTTTTCCGGTTTTTAAATTTAATCGAGGAAGAGGCGACTTTGATTGTCGCGTGTAAAACATCGAGATTTCGGCGTCGCAATTTTTATTCTTCTGTGAAAATCACCGAATTGAATTTCGTGATTTTAATAGATGGCTCAGACATTACTTTACTGACGCAGAAAAATTATCCGCGACATTATCATTATCATTAATATGCTAAAAGAATTTTTTAGCTAAACTTGCCATTTATAATATATTGATATTTTATTGTTTTTATGTTAAATTATCATATTAGAATTACATGATAAATATAACAATTTTTTTCAAAAAAGTTAGAATGTTTTTTTATTCCATGTAAAAATGATTCAAAAATGTGAAAGATTAATGCCAGTATAAGTAATGCACGAGAACATTATATATCAACTAAAATTTATAAACAATTAAATTCAATTGTAATTTTTTTGCCAAAATTAATTTCAAATTATCAACGTTTCGATATTCTCAAATATGCTAAACTTAATTACCCAACAGCTTTAGCAAATTATGGTAAATTAAATTAGTTTATTAATTGATAGGTGAAATATAAATCACGATATTCAACTATAAAAAAATGAGAATTTGATTACCAAGTTAAAAGTACTCTTTCTTATAAATTTTTAATTTTCAGCTTCTAGTCTGATTAGTCATAATTAATTAAATTAACGCTTTGCAAATTTTTTATCAACATACCTCTTTCAGATCCTGCGATCTCTTCTTCCACACCGTTGTATCTGCGATGCGTGATCAGGAACGCTCGCGGCATCTTCCTCGTCTCCTCGAGTTTTCTCCTCAGAGCACACAAGTCATGCTTATCAACTCAAGATTCACAAACTAACACACTAACAATCGCACCGACTACTACTTATAGTAAAGGGGTGACAACGCGAAGACGAAGAAGAATCGATGGACACGGTATCAAGAGGAAGAATTACGATCCGTTTTGGAAGCGTGTACGTCGAGTGACGCACGGGGGTTGCGTTCGCTTCGGCAATTTCGGGCGCAATAGTTGCCCCGGCTAAGATTCGGGGCTACATATAGCAACGCAACCTCCCTCGCTCTCCACCTCCAACGCTGCCGCCGTCGCCGCCGCCGCGGCGCTTTTCGTCGTCGTCGTCGTCTTCTTGTTCTTCTTCTTCTTCTTCTTCTTCAGCTGCACGCGCCTCAGAAGCGTGCCCGCCCGGTTCCCTCCTGCGCATGTGGTGGTCCCATTGGTGTGTCGGCAATGTGCGACACGCGTGGCGAGTGCGTACGACCCGCGGAGGAGGGGGCGGATGAAAGACCGCGCGGGAGGAACACAGCCGGCCCCACACGGCTCACGCAGGGTGGTTGCTAACTACCCTTATCTTCTCTCGACAAGTTGTCCCGTCTCATTATCGCCCATTATTAGATTCTACCAATTGGAGCAATCATTGATTCAAATGCAAATTGACGAAATTAATTGTGCGGTACACTACGATATTATAATTGCATGGTGATTCTTTATATAAATTTATCGATAAAAGAAATAAGTAAAAAAGATAATAAGAGAAATAGGTAATTGTAGCAAATTTAAGTATAGTACATGGATTTGTTTTATTTATGTGTCTAAAAGATCTTTAAATTAAAGTACAATGATTTGTACGCATTAAATGTTAAAATTAGGATCATACGCATTAAATGTTAAAATCTTAAGCTACTCTTTCTACATACAACATTTTAATGAAATGCGTTTTTAGTTTTTAATTTGTAAATTCTTATAATAATGGAATTTCTAATTTTGATTGAGATATATATATTTGTTGCAGTGTGTGAATCTTCAGTCATATATTCAACAAATTTGATGAAACCAGCACTGCTCATCTATCTAGAGTGTTATTTAAACAAAGAACGAAGGCGAGCAGATATGATAACGGCGCCATTTCAACAGTTACAGGGTAGAAGCACAGGTTGGTGCGCTGGGTGGTTCTTCTGGCGCGACGCCAGGCGTCCGCCGAATTTAGCACCGCGATGCTGACTAACTCGCGTGGCATTCATTCAATCGTCGACCAAAAAGCCCCGCTGCCTGCATAGTATCTTGCTCTTTGCGCGAAACGCGTGTCCTAAGGCGATTAGAGAAAAAAAAAGAGATCAGGTTCCAATCTTCCTGAGGCTTATTCGAGCTTATCTATGAAATATACAAATTAGAGGACACGAGGAATTGCCTGGACACTGCTTTTCATCAACAGTTTTGTGATACTGATTTCTTCTTGCTTTAAAAAGTTAATTATTATTTTTACTTGCAATTGTTAAACGGTATCAAACATTGAATACTTTATACGACGAATGAATCAGAAATATTATAAATTATATAATATAAATTTTGTCAAACTTTATTCTAAAATAAGAGACTATTTAAAAATATTATTGATTTATATTTAGACAGATAATTATTTCGTTATTTAATTTTAATTTCTTTTATTAATCAAAAGAGAAATCAATTTTTTTTTATACATTTAGTCTAATTTGTGAGACTTGAGAAACGTATAAAATCTCCATTTAAAATTTTATTAATCTATTTATAAGTTATAAATGACGAAGCTTATATACTCGTTTTTCAAGAATATTCGCGATTCAGTGAAAATGTATGATTCACAGTCGACTATTTACCGCTGTTTGATATATTTATTCTATCCCGCGTCATTTCTTCATGCTAAAAAAAGTGCTTGAAATTTTTCAGGACAGAAAAGAAGAGAAGTTGAAGCATTCCGTATATCGACTGTCTACGCGAAGGCGAAATATTTGTGAGCTTTCGGATAAAACGTGTGATTGCAAGAAATCTCTAGATGGGAGTCGCGGAACAGGTGTCTCGGCGGCAGTATCGCAAATCGTCGACGACGATATCGTCGTCGAACGGCCAAAAATAAAGTCACGAGTTCCGAACGCATCGAGCGAGCGAGCAAGAGCATCCTCAACCACTGACGCAATTCGACTGCAGATCATCCATTAACGTAACCGGCACCAATAGTGCTAGGCACCTCGTGGCTTTCTACGCGCTTTATCCGGCGGCGCATCCTACAGGTGCCCAAAGGTATTTCGTCCGCCCACTAGCGCGAATCGCGTATTTTCGGCGCTCTTGGAGCGCTCCCAGATGCGGAGGAGGAGGAAATACGCGACGTCGACGAAAACGATATGCGAGGAAGGAGATCTTGACGGATAAATCGCGACCGCGGTCACGTGCGGTTCTACTGAAAGAATACTCGGTGATGCGAAGAAACGAAATTTATTGGAAAGGCTCGATTGTACCAAGGAATGTCGACGAGTTTCGCTGACGGTCTTCGGAATAACTGCATGGTGATAAATTACATTGAATGATATATGTGTAAGTTTACTAAATCGGGACAAGTTTGTAAGAGGGGAATTTCCAATTTTAGGTAATTTCTCGCCTGAGAAAGATGGATAAGTACGGGGGCGGATATAGTTTTTGCGTCGAGGATACCGAGTCATTAGGAGTGATCCACGGGGGCGGCGAGATCATTTAGGACGAGAAAGCGTGACTGTATCGCGTGTCGTCCCGTAAAGTATCCGGATACGCACGGTTCCTCCTATAAATCAGCGACCTTCTGCACGCCACCCTCTTTTCCTCGTACCGGCGGGCAGCAAGTACTTTCCGCGTGCCGGAAAAAAGGGAAAAGCACGCGAACGCTATTTAAAAGGCTCGTAGACCGGCGGCTTTCCTAGCGGCCGCCGGAGTATGGCACGAAGGCGAGCGCGAGAAGAGAGAAGGAGAGAGGACTTCGACTTCGCCGCTCCTCTCTGGCGGCCTCGGCATGGGGTTGTCGTGCTATTTTCAGGCCCCGCTGGCTCGATGCAGCTGTCGTGGTCTTCGGGTAAACCACCTCTCTTCTATTCCACGGCCATCCTCGAGGCGCGACAAGGTAAGCCGTGGAGATTGGAATCTAGAATCTCGCGACGAGATTCGTCCGTTGGCGAGTTTTTTCTCTAACTCGTTTGTTTCGCAAAGATAGACGTTCGCCAAATTTGCGCTTCTCGGTGATGAGCAAAGTTTAGTGAATTCTTCAACTTTGAAAGAATTTTTTATTATATTCGTATATTAGAGAAGCGAGATGAATTATAATAATAAAAAATTATAGCATAACACTTGCAATAATTCCAAACCTTTTACTATACATTTTTATTATCTTTTTATTGTATACTGTATACATTACTTTTTATTATATTTGTATACCAGAGAAATGATAATTCCAACTTTTTGTCACTATATATATCATGATAAAGTCGAGTTAAAATTCTTCGGAACAATGTAATATTTCTATAAAATATAATCTCGATGCAGTTTTGTGACAAATCGTTTCAAAGTTTCGTAAAGTTGTTACAAACTGGTCCTAACTTGAAAAATATCTTTAATATAAATGCAAATCTTACAACTTTATTTGTAGTTTAAAATTTAATAAATTTATACCAAATAGAATTGCAGCGAGATTACTAAAAATTAAATGTTGGCACCAGATGGCTGGTGAAAAAGTTCTGCACGATCACAAACATTTACGGCAGCACAGACATCACGAAATAATAATCAGAAAGAATTTTCAGAGCTAAACACACTCGTGCGCCTAGAAATTCGCCAATCGGATGAACCTATTAAACTGTCCGGATTCCGAGAATAGCAATACGATGATGAGGACGCGCGCTTCCGCGAAACGGTGCGTCGCGTCGGCGCGGCGGCGGCGCGGCGGGAAAGCGGAATAAAAGTCCGTGGGCCGTCTTCCGCGGAGGAGCGCCCACCGGAGGATGAGGGATGAAGACGAGGCCGAAGATAAGCCGAGGCGAAGATCTGGCCGGGCGCCAAGACGTCAGATTTTCAGCCGTTTACGTGTACTTCCAACTTTTCCGTCTGCGCTTTCCTTCGCCTCCCCTATGCGTCCTCTAGGATCTCTAGGGTGCAATGACACCGGGCGGCGCGGCTTAATGACTATTCTCTATTCACGGGTACGTGAATCATATTATGCGGGAATAGGCGTTGCACACGCGTCTCGATTATATTCCACCGCATTGTTGCTGTTTTTATGCACGTGAGTGAAAGGTGAAGACAAGGCGCCGTGGTAGTCAGATAGATGATTCGATTTTGCCTTAAATCAAGTTTCATATGTGATGAACGCAGAAAGACTTACATGTTTATTGAAAACGCAAACAATGTGAGTAACTTAATACTTAATATAATCAGGCAACTCTGTGAACGAAAATGTATAAAGATTTAATTATAGGGGTACCGCAATCCTAAACAATTTATATTGGTAATTGAAAGAATAAGGATGAAAATTTTATAATTAAGTGTATATATTAGTGAAAGCTGACAATAGACAAATATCTTGGTAATATGGGTCTGAAATATTTAGACATGGCGAAGAAATATAACGGGTTGATACTTTCGATGGATTGTGCGGGGTTTGGAGGGAAAAAAGGTTCGAGGAGTGCCGGTGGCAAAAAACGTCGACCGGAACGACTCTTAATTTAGTTCTGGGTGCAAGAGGTTAACGCTGGGTGGAGACATCCGTGGAAGCGCCTCCCCTTAGGGGAGAGCACCGTAAGACACGTTGGCTCGTGTTCGGAGGAATGTCCTCGAGGATAAAGGGAGACAGTTCCTTCCGGAGACAGCGATCAGCCGCCTGTTTCATCCCCCCTCTCTTCGATCGTGTTGCTATTCTTACACCGCCATCGGTACGAATTCAGCTACTTGCCCTTCGCCTTCGCCTCGGCATTGCTGGAGTGCTCCCCTTCGAAGGGAAGCTGTCCAAATGGTCATTTGATATTGCTCAATAAAATTCTACGCGCTCTGGTTGTCATGCAATATATATTTATACCACGTTGGAAGTATAATGAGTTCTTTTATCACTTGATATTACGTTGTTTTATTTGTTGTGATCATTTATTTTATATCAAATGATTAACATAATCATTATTATTTTTATAATTATTATTCTTATTTCCGTATCATAGTTTAGTATAATATTAAAAAAAGACAAATTAATTATTTTAAATTTATATATTATTATTTTTATATGTTTAAATAAAATCCCTTTATTTTGTATGATTTTCAGAGGTAGATTACAATACTTTGACGTAATTCAAAGGCGAGATCTCTTTTCAAGACACGATTGCACCCTTCCTTTTTATGGGTGTCTATTTATCTATTCATCTCTAAGCTCTGTTCCTGACGCTTCGATCGAAATCGCAGACGCCTCGTTCTCCGGCCAGTGTAGGGTTTCGTCGTGAAACTCGTAAATGAGCCCCCGTGACTCGCGCTTTTGAATGGAAACCGACAGGGCCGACGGTTTTTACGAAAGCTGCCACAGGATGCGGGTGCGCGCAACGGAGAAGGGGTGGCGACGCTCATTTTCGTTCTCTTTGGCGTTTTTTTTCTGACTCGCCTCTCCCTCTCGGTCTTGCGAAGATCGGAGAGAAAAGGGAGAAATACCGCCAGCTGATAGCCAACGTCGCCGCCGCCGCCGCGTCGTTTCTGAAAAGATTTGCCTCTCGCAAAATGCGAGCACGTGCTCGTATGCATGCGCCCTCCGCTTTCGGTTTTGCATGCCTACTTGCCACCTGCGAAGACGGGACTCGTCTCGTAGTGTACCGCGGTCTGACCTGATCGCAATTAATCCTGGCAAAAACAATTTATGAATAATACTCCACTTTTCTACAGCCTCTTTTGTCTCAGGATCGCGTGAATTAATAGACGATCAGAAGAATCTAATTTGTACGAGATTCGTTCTAGAAATTCTTTTAATTATAGAATACCTTTTAATTCAAAGAGAGGCTGCAGGTATCTTGATATCGAAATATTCAAGTAATTTAGGAAACAAAATGCAATAAATCTTTATATTAAAGTTAGGCAATATCGCATGACGTACGGATATCTGAATATTAACTCTCTAAATCTGAATCAGTGACTAGTCACTGATATCACTGTAAAGTATGCCACTGATTCATGAAAAGTGAACGGAAGTCATCAACATTCCCGACATTTCGGAGTAATTAGCTTTGTAGTCACCACTATTATATATCATGCGTAGATTGCTGGCGATCTCTTTTTCTTGACGATATCTAGATCATATTCTCTCTAAATCCGAATCAGTGACTATAGTCAGTTCTCGCTTGTAATATCGGAAACTCGTGATTTTCGCGCAACTAATAAGAGACGACTCGCTAAAGAGATCTTATAGGAAACACTTTTTTAATTCTGCAAAATATCATTTTCCAGAGTTAGAAAAGTAAGGATGAAGCTGCTTCTGCTGTCAAGGCTGTGCATTCGCATACCAGCGTCTTTATTCTCTTTCTTTCATCACTATTGCCCAGGCGGTCTTTATGGAGCGTGGTGGCAGGAAAAGGAAGTGAACTAGACGGTGAACGACTAAGGTCATGGTCTTAAACGACACAGTGACAAATTTGAGCAAGTATCGTCATCAGTTTAACAAATTATTGGTACGTGTACATATATCAGAAAACATAAATTTTCATAGTAGTTGTATTTTGATTAAAAAGAACCGATCAGTCTCTCGAATTTATCTCCTCGTATCTTAAATTCAATTTCTCCTCTATCTTACATCAAACGTCTCTGTCATTTATCATGACGATGAAGAAGACTCTCATCGACCTATTAAATCTCCCCATGATTTTATTCGATACATGTGTCGACAGTTGATCTTCATCACCGGCGGAAACGCTATTGTCTGAGAACATCTCCTTGTCAGATCCGCATCGCTGGAAAAACGGCGAGAGGGGCGGTTAAAGAGACCCCGGAGAGGGTCGCAGATATACAACCGAGTCACCGGTGGCAATAGGCACGCGACCGACACGCGCCCGTTCTCTCCATCTCTCTCTCTCTCTCTCCGTCGTCTCATCTCCGGGCTCGAATTCCCTTTTCCACCGCCTTCCCTTTAACACGCGTGCGTGTACAAGACGTATGCGACCCACGCACGCGATCATCTCGGGGCTTTACGCCCATATGGGATCTCAAAACATCGGTAGCAGCAATAATCGGTAGTTCGTGTTACCAGGACGATTTAATCAAATCTTTTTATAAACCTTAGAGTGTAAAAATTCTTTGTATATACAATGTTTTTTTAAATTAAAATTTAGAAAATACGAATATGCAATTGCAATCTGTTTTTCTTTTGATTCGCTTTAGATTTGTTGGATTTCTTCGCCTTCTTCTGACCCTTTTTCTTACCGTCTGGACCCTGCGCGTTTACCGATGCGATTATTTGATTTTGAAGAAAATGAATAAATTAAAATGTGAACAAGAAAATGAGACAGCGGAGTATGAAGCGTACCTATACGATAAAGGAACTGAGCTGCCGCTTTAGTAGTGTCGTATATACTTCATATTCCATTGCCCCACTTTCTTGTCCACACTTTAATTTATTCATTTTTATCTCAAGATCTTCAATGGAATCTTTATACTTGCTATTTGATTGTATTAATTGAAATTTGATATCTTCTAATTGCCTAATTTTTTTCTTTGCCTTGGTGAGTTTTTGAGTATAATCCTTCTCCATATTTTTAATATAGATTTCATCTCAGTCTTTTCGTTTTTACAATACGCTTCCAATTTTTTTTTTTAATTATCACATTCTTTTTTCACATCCTCAAGCTCTTTCCTTAGTCCTTTTGAGACACGTTATCATTTTCGTGTAAAATTCTCTATATATCGTCTATTGTGGCGGATGAGGCGTTTCCCGAACTTCCGCTATTTTTCATGCTGTGTAAAACAACTCGCGACTCCAAACACTGTGATTTATCAGGCTTATCAAGAAAAATACTTATATCACTGTTATTTAGGTAGAAAGTATTAGTCTGGCTTCTGTCTTCCCTGGCTATCCACAAAGAAGAGCAGAGTAGTTATGAATAACATGATTAAGTAAAAGACATATGCAAATAACAAAACTAGCATATCTGAAGCACACACAATTGTGCAACCGACAAGAATAATTTGACGAATTGTTAATAGTGTGCAAAAATTGACGAGTACTAATGTTATGGCAAGAATGGAAAATTAATTCTGTATTTCTTAATTACTTTGTTTCAGACATAATTTCGAGATATGCCTTGACGCAAATGAGTTTGAAATAATTCGTATAAACATCGCGTGCGTCACGATGTGCTTTGTGTAGCGGTATAATATTAGACACCCGGTGGACGCGCATCTCGTTCGTTGATATCTCGCCGCTATAAGATCCACGGGAATATCACGCTGTATACGTGCGTGCGCGTTTCGGATGCGTGTGCGTGCCCATTCAGAAACTCTTCTTTCTAGTGGCCCATTGAAGAATCCAGCCGCGAGTCGGTGTGCCCGTTAAGCCGTGTTATCTTAATACTTTGAGGACCGAAGGTATAGGATTTGTACCTTGCTACTTTGCCTCGTGTTTTCCGGTACTCATGAAATCCATTTACGAATTAGACAATGTCATATTATGAAGTCTACACAAATTATTTATGTTGGAAGCAGCGTAAATCTAGTTTCACAGATATTTAATCAAAATTGTCTTATTTTATATTTAAATCAAAATTAATTGATGTTGATTAATTAAGAATTCGACCCATACCATTTATATTCGACTTACACGCATTTGCAGAATACGAATTGTTTTTTAATAAATTTAAATGACGTTTGAATGATTATAGGGATGTATCTACACCGCATCACGTGGGACATACTTAGCGATCGAAGCTAGTAAAAGAATGATTAAGGTCGATGAAGACGAAAATGCGATCTGTCGTAACGAGGGAAATCGGACATCTCTAAGTTTAGCTTCTATTTGCATGCGGATCAGGGACGGATTCGAGTTGCCAAGGCGCCATAACATATAAGAATCGATAAATTTTTTTTTAATGGAGAGATTTAAGAAGGTATATAAAATATTCGTCAAGCAGCAAATCGTTTTGTTTTAATCCAACGTGCGAAGCAACATTTACGATTTTTGAAGTTCTCTAAGAAAATATTAAATTTTTAATATTCAAATTTTGAAGGTCATTCTAGATCTACGAATTATTGAGTTTCTTTGAACGTTAAGTCTTTTAATCGTCAATTAGATAATTATGTAAAATACAATAATTTTGATGTAATTGAATTAACGCGTTTAAATTAACCAATTGACGTTAATCCGGCGTTTGGCAAGCCTCTGTAAAAAGTACCGACGTTGCACAAGGATATTCCTTTACTACGATCTAGAAATACTAATTTCGGAATCGCGCCCCACCAATTTATCTCTCGCCTATTGACGAAAGCACAACGTGACAGGAAGCATAGCTCTCGTGACGATTGTCGGTTTCCGGACGATTGCGTTTGCTTGACGATTGTCATAAATCAGATCGCATCTACCAAAAAACAAAACGATTAGGCAACATTAACTAACGATAAAACGAGGGTAGGATGTACTTATAAAAAAAAAAGTATATTTGTACGATAAAGCAAGAATGAGCCAAGATCTAGAAAAGATACATTTATTCCGGAAATAATTTATGAATTTATAATAGAATTTCCACTGGCTTCTATGTTATCAAATTTGATAAGGAAGTAGTTATATGTACATATAGTTAGTTACACATTTTTGTGTAAGTTATGTATGCTACTCTTATATAAAATTGCAAGCGGCACATTCGCCTAATTTTATGCTTCTGACATCGTAATTGAAAACATCTTGCGCAGGTGTGGCCAGCCCTTCATAGAAGTAGCAAATAGAACGATCGCACATCATAGAACGTTATTTAAAAAAAATCTAATTAAGTAGAAGATATGCCAGCAGGCTGGCACTTCAATCCTAAATCGAAATATCGCAATTTTGTACGGGTGCAACGAGTTTAGAGGCGAAGTTTTGGCCGATCACCAACGATTACAAACGATATCTACAGACAACGACGATGATAGCAAGCGCTTGGCATGGTGTGGATCGCGCTTATGTATCGCGACTCGATTTAACTATCGCCGTTTATATTATGTCCGTGTCTACCTGTCGTCGTGCAAGAATCCGTGGATCCGGCCGATGCCAATGATCGAAAAATAGATACGAGCGCAACCTGTTCGAAATAGCCGAAGTGAAACCTATGACACGCAGAGCGCGTGGTTCTTTCAAGCTGCCGTAACATTGCGTCCAAACTTATGGATCGTCAATTAATTTATGATATAATCAATATAAAAAAATATAAAATTTTAATAAAAAGATGGCTCTATATTAACTTTTGAATTTAGGGACTAAGTATTGAAATTAATTGAAATATGTAATATATCCTATTTAGTTATAGAATTGTGTACATTAATTTTAATTTTAAAACTGAAATATTTCAATATTCTTCTAATCTCCCTTTTAATTTTCTTTTTCGCAGGTCAAGAGATCACTCGCGGCCGCGAAGGTGTCTAAGACCAAAAGGAGGAAGGAAATCTAATTATAGAAGTCGTTGTACCGCGTGCTCGGCGGAGAACCATGGAGGGTGTGAGTGCGGGTGCACGAATAAGAATCGGTTGTGCATTGGGCGGTCATAAAATGCAGTCTGCATCCGCTCGACGCAGATGTACTGCGGAACGGGGTTCGTTCCTCCTACGAGGAGTCCGCAAAGGATCTCTCGTTTCGGTGTTAGGCGACCTACCGAGATGTGCCCGGTACAATGAACTAGAATGAAGATCCGCGAAACGCGATTAATCGAACCGCGCGCGAGAGATTCATAGCTCCTCTTTGAACCCTCCGGATATTGCTCGGATGGTTCAGATTAAAGCAGGGATTTGAGTACATTGCGTTTGTTGCAATCTCCATGTATATACATACATTTAGTTTATTTTATTTATATCGAGATATTATAAACATGTGAATGAAAAGAGAAAAATAAGATAGTTTACGAATAAATTATTCATACGTATAAAGAGAGACAGTATAGGAGTACTATACTGTATCTCTGTATACCGTTACTTGTTTATCTAAATGCTTAGTATTAATTTATTCATGATAATGTAAGATAGTGAGAGGGTAGTATTTAAACTGTTTTAAAACAAATCAAACATTTCAAATGGATATCAAAGACGATATTTTCAAGAATTGATTTTTCAATCATGAAATTAATGAAAATGAATTAAGATTAAGTATATTATCTCATGTTTGATGATAATCGGTATTTCATTGAGAACTTTTTAGCATATTAACGCGTTTAGTATGGCATGACTTTGTTCATTACGTCGTTCATTCATTCGGGAGCCATGTGGTTCATCATTATTAACCCGTGCAGTACTTCCTGTCTCGTGCAGTGATAAAAAAGGATTCTAGTACTCCGTGCCGAGTTTTTTATACTGGAAAAGATCACGAGAATAGTTCAAAATCATATATATATGAGCGTGTGTATAAAATATAATAAAAAATTATTTTAGATACATTAAATGCATCTATATATATATAATACAGTTTTGCATTTTGTATGCTTTACGTACTCAAGTTAATTAAAGAATTAAAGAATCAGTGCCGGATAGTCTTAATTTTTTATAATTAATCGCGATATCAAATGCAGATGCGAGCTAAAGAAAATTTTTGCACGAAATTATAGATCTCCCTCTGTAAAGAAACAGAATCTTTCCTTTTCGTTGTTATCATTACACTTTGCAAAGTTTTCTTTCAATTTCGCTAATGTAAGCTTTCGCCGATCGTTCCTGGAGCAAAGTCCGATCGCGCCGTACGTCGACGAGTCCCAGCTGCTAGATCTCGCGCGTGATCAACTCGTGCCGGGCAGGCTGCGATTATTATTGTTTCCCTTTTTCTCTCCTCTCTTTCTCCAACTCCCTATCTCTCTCTCTCTCGCTTTCGAAGTAGCCGAGTGTATGCCCGTGACGTGGCCATGTAAGGGCTAGGCGGGGGTGCCATGTCGGGAGCCGCTAATTTTAGATCGACTCCCGTGCTTCCAGGAGTCGACTCGGCGAATCGGCAGCTGGTGAATTCGACGAGCTGCTGCCTCGCGCGTGCACGTGGGTCCGGTATACAATGCGTGTCGCGCAGCGTCCACCGGTCATCCCCCTTCTCTCGTCTTGGAGAAGGCCGACGTGTCCGATCGTCCTGGTCCAGATGTATCTCGCGATCCCGCTCCCCTCGAGACACGCGGCCACGATCGATCAAAAAAGTCTTGCGTGTCGTGAAGAAGTTGCGTTGAGGCATTGAGTGCCGAATTTCAATGTTTCCTTCTTCTATAAATTAAAATGGTAAATATACATACAAGTATACACATAATAAATATCTATATACGTTTTTATTAGTTCTATATTTTTTAATTTTATTATATTAATGTATATTAATTAAGTTCCTGACTGTGTGCAGCCCGCAGAGTTAGAACACGTCAGCGAGAAGAACCGGAAACGGAGCGGAGACTTTGAAAAGCGTCAGAGAGAGAGAACCGCGGGTAGAAACGCATCCGAGACGCATCCTTTCGCTTCCGACGTGAAAAGGGGAAATGAACGCGTGCACGAACGTTCCTTTGAGCGCGCGAACCGAGGCGGCAGGGGGTAAACGGGAGATCTGGTGGCGGCTGGTGCAGCGGATGTTTGAAGCCGAAGAAAGCGAGGCGGTGGTTCCTGTCGTGGCTTCCCTTGCGCTTCGTCTCCGCTACCGCTGCCTCTCGCGGTCCCTCGCGATCCTCCTTTTCTCGGTCAGCGTAGGAGGCACACCATTTCGGCGGATGTGATGTTTAGGACAAGAACCACCCCGCGACTGACAAAAAGCCCCGGCGCAGTATAAATAGGCGGTGGTTGTTGCCACCGCGGTCGGCGGTCGTAAACTGATATCACGCGCTTTTGACCCACATAACTCGGATTGATTGTTTGTGAAACGACGAGCGATCGGTCTTTTTCCCGGCGTCTTTGAAGAATGGATCCTCGACGGAAGGAAATGAGGATGATCGCGTCAGTCAAGGAATTCGTTGAATGAACTTTAGTCGAATGATCTTTCATTATACATATATACATATATTATTTGCTAAATAAAAAAAAAACAATTAAATCTAGCTATGACATTCCCAAAAGCTTTCAGGATATCGAAAGACACACGTATAATACCAGAATTTTTCCTCTGGAATTTCTCTGGATGCGTAAGAAGAGAAATTAAATCAATATTGTTAAAAGCGCAATCACATGTCCGGATTGCGACGTAGTGCCCGACACGTGGTCTACTGTCTCTTCTGGCTCCTGCTGAGACACCGAGAGACCTCCCGGTGTCGTCCGGCCCGCATGTGCGCGAGCGAGAATCTCTGGTTTTCGAATTGTTTTATCTGTTCGTCGGTCTTATTATCCAAAGCTGAGAATGCGTAAAAGAAATGTCGAGATCGGGCCCAGGGACCAACGCGGGGCTTACACCTCCTCGGTGTCCTCCGCGGGATCGTAGATTCTTTTTGTGGTCGGGGCTACGTGCATCAACTTCGTGGGAGAGGATAAATGAAACCAAACCACTTATTGATACCTATCTTAGTTCGATGCTAACAGATCGTGAAGGAATTGTCTATAAATGGAAATATTGTAATCTATATATAAAGAAGGAAAGAGTATTTTTATATGTATAATATACAATATTTTCTCAAGGAATTTTCTATATAAGTTCGAATTTCTATGTTTTATTTTATAAATTGAAGCGACTAAATGATATATGTAACACACAGGAAACAAATATATTTATTTTAAATTTTTTATTAAGAAATTATATTGCCAATAAATCGATTCAGTATAAATTTTCTACTTTTACATTCAGTCTTTCGTTTCTACAGCTGTAGACAAGGAAATGCTGTCAATGCTGTAACAATTGGCGTTAATGATTTAATGCAAAGGTCGTAAATGTACGATTGGGAATGGCAGAGCGCGCGGTGCGTACTCTCTTACGGAGCCGGGGTATCACCTGCTCGTATTGTTTAACCGAACGAAATGAAACGGCGTCCGGTGCTGGACCAGATTGCGGCCGGCGCGTGCCCGATTCGCGGAAATCCGACACTCTTACTTTTACGACATTCTGCACGGTGCGGGCGTTTAAAAATCTGCCTTGAAAAGTTGCAGCCGTTCCACGGTGCGATGTGGCAAAATCGTGCTTGCGTTTCGATACACACGGATATATGTTTGAGATGTTATCGCATTTTCATTGCCATGTATAAATTCACATGTAAATTCTGATTACTTTTAATTCAATTAATCATAAGTAAAAATTGTTTTACGATTCTACAATTTTGAGGGAGAAAATATAGCTTTTTTTTTCACAGAAGAATAGCGAGAGATATTTTAAAACATGAAGGTTTTGAACAGCATAGTCTTCATGTCGAGAATGTCGTAAAGCCACTTCGGTTTAAAGACTACGTCCAACCGATGCACAAACTGCTGTCCCTCGAATACATACGTGACCTATCAAAAAAGTTATTCGCGTTTACGGAAACGTGTTTAATTTAAAATCTTTAATTTGACACGCGAGGCTATCTATATGTAAAATCTGGCTAGTATCCTAGACTTCGAATCCAAGTTCGTGTAAATGTAATGATATATATATATAGTACGGTATACTTTCATATTTTAAATATTTATATTGTCATTCGAACTATGATAAGGCATGCTAAAAGTGATTTCCGATACTACCCAGATCTCGTTCACGCTGAGCGATGTGCAGTCAACGTGCGCGCAGGAAAGAGAGGGAAAGAGAGTGAGGAAGACAGAAAGAGCAAGGGGAAAGAGCTGAAAATATACATAAACTAACGTCGACTGGAAAGTGCGGCGGCTGCACGCGACTCGCCGCGATGCTGAAGAACACACTGACAGTCACATATGGCTCCGGATATGCCGGTGTCGGTATGCTCCACAGGACTTGATACATGTAGAACTCGGTGGTCCTCTCTCTGTTAAGGCCGATAAACTTTGCGTGGAACATCCAGCTTCTCAGAGCCTGAAGTAGATCGATAAAACACGTATTTCAATTTCCCTTCCCTTGGCGCGATCGATCTTTTTTTTCAATTGTACCGATAATTGGTTCCATCTGAGCATCTCCTCTTTCACACATCGCAGGCCGTTTCGCGCATTGATATTTCCACACGTAGGCCATTTGGTGTAGTTGAGCGAGGACTGATGATTCTAACAGTTAAGAGCAATCGATACAAGTAATTATTTACGAGCAAGCAATATAGATAATCGTTACATGTATGTACATATGAGATACCGTTTCAATATGTACGAAAATGTATGAGAATTATTCAGATACACCGTAATTGGCAGATAAGAAGCTTAACGAACCATGACATCGACAATTTTTATTGCGGCGGTAACTGCGGAATCGACGAATCTTCTCACGAAACGCGTCACATCTTGACAAGATTCAACCTGATGCTCTTCCGCAGGCCGTGCATTATACACCGACCGCCTCTTTCGCATAAACATGCTGATTAATCCTACAAAAGATTGCGTGCGAATTTCAAAACGTCATCCTCGAAAGATTTCGATGATTTATTTCGCCAAATTTACAATCGATAACGATTCGTTGCGTTCTTCGCATAAAAAAGAAAAAAAAACGGAACGACGGATCTAAGAACTTTTTCTCGTGATATATGTATATACATACATTTACCTACCGTCGTGTATACAAGACATCTACATACGTATGTACGACAATTAAATATGTATATATGTGCCGACTTATACGAGAACGATTCGTAATACTATATACTATATATGATTAAAGCTTATATTAACAATCGTTTTTCGAGTGATTAGAGTCATGCTGATTGCGCGCGGCCTTTGGCGCCGGTTCCAATCCTGTCACGGCCGCCAGTACTTCGAACAGACTTTCCATCAGTCTGCCAAATATTTCTGACATCTCTTCATCCTTCCTTGTTACCACGAATATGTCTGAAATTGATATGCAAAATATATGTCAATATATATATTTCATCTATTGCTATGTTTAAAAGTGTAAATCACGCAAATATTCCAAGAATTAACGATAGTGACATCGTACAGCCAATAAAAAAGATTGAGATAATGTGTAACTGTATTTAAGTATTATTGATTATCTATTAAACTCACCCGATCTCTCTTGACCTATGTATTTGCAGTACATATTGACGGCAGTTGTTACGTCGTCGTCATCGTGAAAGGGGTCTCCGGGCCATTGTGCCCTGTGCAGTCTCACGGCTTCGAGCGCTGGACACCATCGTGCATTTCTTAGAAGTTCGGCGATTCTGGCGACTTCTTCCACGGCTCCAGAACCCGGAAGAGGACTAGGACTGGGTGTCGGAGTCGGTGTCCCTCGTTCGCTCTCGGTGCTTTCTTCGAGCGCTCTGCTTAATGCTATCTTCATATTCGCGATCTCAATAGATAGATCTTGCAAAGGAATCTGTACGTTTCTAGCGGTGTTCATTAGCGCCCCTAGCATTTTGTTCGACGCTTCGATCAACAGAAGTAGCTGGAAGTGCAGTTTGTACAGCGCTCTGCCTAGGTCCAACAGCATCTCCTCGACGCCCGCTTCCGTGGTGTGACTCCCGCCTGAAGCCTGAAGCTTAACGGTTGCTTTAGCTGCCTCCAAGCACTGAAAGGAAAACAAATATTATAGCGTCTTGTCTCAACAGTCGTTGTCGAGTATCTCGACAAAACTTACTTCCGTAGCATGATCTTTCCTATCGAGAAATGTTTCCAGATGTTCCTGTATCTCCAGCATTCCAAAGCGCAACGTCTCGTTTAGCCGCTGATTCGCGAATATGGCTACCGAGAACCACACCAGAGGCGGTTCGGCTTTCGAACTAAGTAGCTCAGCATGAGCAGATAAATGGCAACCCAAGTGAGCTGAAGCCGAGCTGCCATTACAAAGCAAAGCACTTGCTTCGCGTGTGAGACCAACAGATTTACTGCTCACATCCTATGAAACACAACAATTTCATTAGGAAAAGTGACAATCCATTGATCTTTTGTAAAATTCAACAGGATTTATTTTTTAATAAAATAAATTATATATATTTTTTAAAGCAATATTTACCCTCAAGATCTTGCTCAGCAATTGGAAGAAGCTCAAAGTATTGTACGGAGCTTGAGTAATGAGACTTTGAATTTGCTGCCTCCAGATCTCTTCGGCATCGTCTCGTACGACCTGTCGGAAGGGCATCAACGCGGATAGGTTGGGTGACGCGTTGCAGGGCGTCACATCTCCGAGATCTCCCGCACTCGAACCGCTATAGGCGAAAGATTTGAAATGAAACGATTAATATACGCGTTTCCAGAGGTTTTTATACAGAAACTTACGATGTGTCAGACCTTGTGGATGAGTCGTGACGCGTGCGACTAGGTATCAACGAGAGAGAAGACGGCGGGAACATTCCTGGGATGCTGTTCGCCTCCTGCCCCGTTCCGGATCCACCTGGTACTTCGTCCAAGGGTGATTCTGATCCTGCTTCGTCGTCCGATGATTCTTCGGCGACACCGCGCTGCGTACATTCCAAATTTTATTAATACAAGTTTTTTAGGGACGGCAAAAAATATAAATTACGTGTGGTAAAACTAATTTTTCATTTTTCACATATTTACCCGCGTTGTGTGTTTGCTGGATGACGGCGTTTTCTCACTTAAACTTTCCTCGAACTGTCGCAAACTGGGTTCTCGTTCCTCTCCCTCGCTAAGAGGACGACGTCGAACTCCCCAGTTAAAGTTGTCCGTACTCTCACCCTATAAAGTTTAACAGAAAAAAAATGGAATTAGCATTCTCTATTTAGAAGGCAAAACATCGTGGGCTTACCTCGACGCTTTCGCTCTCATATTCAAGGAAATCGAAGTCCTTAAATACACCGAACTGCTCGTCGTCTCGTCTGGATCCTCCGCTCAAATCGTTATTCGCCCCGGAAACCTCTTCCGTGGAAGAAGCCATAGATGACTGTCTTTCCATCAAGTCCGAACTTTGACTGAATATGACCTGAATTTAAAAAAAACGTGATTAATAATGTAAAAAAAAAATATATATGTAAACGCAAAGAAATTTGTGAGGGATTAGAAGCAAATATACATAAGTGACAAATTCATGAATATAAAGTCAATAACTACGGCATCTCGTATTTTTTTGGATAGACAAAAATTATGATACTAAATAGTACTCAATATTATGGAATTCACTTATATTTCGCTGCTTCTTAATTAAATCTCTCGATTGGGAATTGCCTTCAATATGTCTTAATTCCGACTGACTATGTGAATTTGCTTAAAATATTCAATTGTGCATACACGTATTATACAATTACTAATTATATATACAGAGTGCTCTGGAGCTATCGCAATTTCCTTCAGAACCTAATAAATTAATTGTAATTATATTAATATTAAAGAATAATAACTTTAATATTATAAATCAAACTCTAATAACGTGTCAAATTTGTAAATGCTGAAAGATAAATAACAATGTAATGCTCTATTATCAAGTTTTCAAAAAATTAATGCAATAATGTAATGGAGTCGCCTGCATATAACTATGTATATATTAATATAGAACAATGATTGTTTCACATCAAAAAATTACAGAATCTATGCATCCTACAACCGGAAAGAATACGTAAAAATATTACCTATTATACATTTATACAGATAATTTCATATATAATACAATAGACGACAAAGCGTAGAAAGATAATAGATTTCAGATAGCTGTGCTGTAAAATTATACTACTACCGCTTTATAACATCTTGTACAAACGTTTTATTACACCTGCAACAATGTGCGAGTGAAAATACTTTTATAAAGCTGACTGAAGCGTGGAAATACGACTCACAGAACATTGCAATTAATTACAAGTACTTGCGTTAATGCGAATTACAGCGGGTGTGCAGATTGCATTTATAATTAACCCTTTACCTTGCTATACAATGTCATTGAACTAATGTGCTCATCCTAAAAAGGGGTACATAATGAATCAGTTGATTTTTGTAAGATGTACAGGATGATTCTTAATTATATATCAACACTTCAGGCGGTGACTCCAAGCCCCAAAAATGTCAGATGATCATTAGTCGTTTAGATTTTATTTTCTAAAGTTGTAATAAATTAAAAATGCTCGAAAAACGTGCCCGCCTTCCGCTGTGAAGCATGCTACGGCATGTTCCGATGTGACCAGATGTTTACTAATTATATATACATACATACATATGTATATATCACACAATTACATTATTTTATTTTAGATAACGCTTTAAAATATCTATATTTATGTAAATTTATCTCTTAAGAAAGAAATTTACAAAATATAAATATTTTAAGATATAATTTAAAATAAAATAATGTATAATTGTATATAAATATACGTAACTATATTATTTGCAGAGGATAAACCATAGGATAAGGATATGTTTACACTACTCGAATTAATAATTGAAAAACGTACCGATGGGCTCTTCGGTAAACCGACTCTTTGTCCACATGTCGTCAAGAGATTTACCAAGCATTCCCTGACTCGGCCCTATTGAAAAAAAAATTGATTTTACATCATAAATGCATAATTTATACACGATATTACATTAAACATTCCACACATAAGTTTTATCAATTTAATAACTATACCTGCGACATCCATGGTCTCTTCCATCCGGCAATTGCGCTACTATCCGCCGGCGATAGAGATAATGAACAGCGTGGAGAACCAATCGATTTTTCTTCAGTACCTTGACGTATCAGCCAACGTCTACCGATCACTGGTGTTTGAGACAGATCAAACGTGAAGTCCATTGTTCTTCCTATTCATAAAAATAAAATCGTCAAAAGTATTACAAATATTAAAAGATATGATTAATTAAAATTGTGTGTATCTATGTTTCTACATGACAATAATAAAACACAATGTTTACTACATTTTATAAAATATTTTAGCTGAAAAAGCTTCCAGATACATATCTTAAAATCCAAATAATCGTGGGAGCATAAATGTGTGTACATATTTAAGATAACATAATATAATTTGAAGTATGTTGAACTTAGAAAAATAATTTTATTTTAGGGAAAGATTATCTATCACTATTGTTATTCTTATCGCAACCTGTTGTGTTGTGCGATAAATAATCCGTGCCATGCATGCATGCCGCGTTGCAAAGAAAGAAAACATAAAAGATAATATACATCCAGGGAGAATAAATACGCATTAATTAATTCATTCACGGAGATGTCAATTTACCCGGTAGTTCTTTCTTGGTAAATATCTCCGTGTCGGTGAAGCTAGGATGCGGTGATGATAGCGAAGAATCCCAGGATGAACC